CATGAAGAAAAACATATTTTATAAATTTAGAGCAAAATCCCATGAGTGAATGAAATACTAACATGGATATGGAAATTTCCTGCTGACATTCGTTCAATTATGAAGATGATAGTGCAGGTTTTTGCATAAAAACGATTAAAAATGGTTTTCATTTGTTTTTTCATGCTTATCTCAAAACAAATAAACAAATAAAACTCCAAAAATCAGAGCAAGCTTTAGGGTAAGAAGCAAAGAAATAGTATCTTGCAAGATTTTCCTTCGAGATAAGAACAGTAAGCAGGTAGGGGTGTCGTTGGAGAAAGGGGTTGTGAGTTGTGACTTGTGAGTGAGGTTGGGGTGTGCTCGAGGAGGATGAGAAGACGCGGAGTAAATTGGGAAATGGGGCTAGGTTTTAGTTTTTGCCCAGGAACGTGAAACGGTGTCGTTGGAGATAGTTAATTATCGGTTTGGTTCGGTTTGGATCGGTTCCAGATTTTCAAACCGAAACCAAACCGAACCGATCGGTTTGTTTAAAAAAAACCAAACACACTAAATCAGTTTCGATTTTTTTCGGTTATCGGTTTTTTGGATCGGTTTTCGGTTATTTTTTTGGATTGGATTGGATTTGAACACCCCTAGCCCAGACTGAATCTATGAAATTAGGGTTTTGTTTCGATATGTTAAAGTAGTGTTCAGTAGCAACGTTTTTTACGTAAACGCCACTAGATTATATGACAATTGCGGCGTTTGGTATTAAAACGCCACAAAAGTACGTGTCTATAGCGGCGTTTGGTATTAAAACGCCACAAAAGTACGTGTCTATAGCGGCGTTTGTATAAAAATGCCACTAAAGTACGAGTCTATAGCGGCGTTTGTATAAAAACGCCACTACATTACGATTCTTTAGCGGCGTTTTTATACAAACACCACTAAAGTATAGTATTTTGTGGCGTTTGTTCAAAAACGCCGCTATATGTAAACAATTACCGGCGTTTACAGTAAAAACGCCGCTACATCCGTCGCTAAAAACCATTTTTGATGTAGTGTTCGTAATTTTATTTGGATCTAACGTGTTTCGATTGTTGAATTTTATTTTAATTTAAAATAAATGTAAGACACTATTTATTCAAAAATAAATTTCAATTTATTAATATTAACGTTTATACCCCTAACATTAATAATGTTCGAACTCGAGTCCTAAAAGAATAACAACAATTCTTTTACCACGAAGACCGGTTGGTTTGTATAACGAGAATACTGGAGATGTGAGCTTTTAATGTCAAGAGATCGAGAGTTATCTTTAAACAAATATTACTTTTTATTTACCCTATATTGATAAAAATAAGAATTTTATTTTATAAATTTGGGATAAACTATTTATTTAGTACCTAAATTATCAATTTTGATTCGTTTTAATACTTGAATTTTTAATGTTTTTCAAAATTATACCTAATGCTTAGTTTTCATTTCATTTTAGTACATCACCATTAAAAACTTAACACGTTTAGTACCTAAAATATTAATTTTGGTATGTTTTAGCACTTAACTTTCAATTTTTTCAAAATTTAACGTTAAATTTTGAACAGGCACTAAAATGAAAAAAATTAAAATTTTTAACTGCGGATACTAAAATGAAACTAAACTAAACTTTAGGTATGGTTTTAAAAAAATGAAGTTTAGACACTAAAACAGACTAAAATTGATGTTTAGGTACTAAACACATAATTTACCCAAAAATTAAAATCTGAATTAAGTCAATCCAAATTATTTAATTATTAATATATTTTTATTGTGACCATTTAAGTATTACATATTTTCAATTTCAGGCCGAACCCTGAAACAAACCGTCTACAACCAGATTATGGCCAGTGATGAACTGAGATTCCTCACTAGCAAGAAAAACAACAACATCGTTTTTCAAACAAACGAACCTCGAAAACAACGATTCGACGTCCTCCGCCCCTATTCCTAAAGCATTACAAAGAGCAGGCGTCGCCACTGGTCCTGGGGAAACGCAGTTAACGCGTATCCCGTGCGGGGCCAACTGAGTACTGGCGCACCTCATCAACGCGATCACCGAGCTCTTCGACATTACATAATCCGTGTTCCGGTCACTCGCAATTCTTTATAATATATCTAACAAACTTCTACATTGTCTATATATATATATATATGTGTGTGTATTTATGTATATAATATATACATACACATCGGCTTTAAATTATTCTTGTAATATATCTTTATTTTTCACAGTTTGTACTTATGCTTGGATTGATTCTTTCACTAGACAAATAAAGATAGCATGTACAGGGTCAACTCTTTTAGTAGTTGGTGTAGATCAATCGTCGTACGTCATTGATCATCGTTATCTTAAGATTAGTATTAAAATGTTTTTGTTCATCCAAAGTTCATAGGTAAAATCGATATTAAACCGGGATGAATGAGCCGATGAATCCAGTTATACTATGTAGTAAAACTAATACAGAAACACCGTTCAAGTTGATAATGAAGCTCCAGGACACAATGCACATCGCTTGAATTTGCTAGATAATGTGATATACAGGCCCCCATAGAGTGAGACAAAATCGCGAGAAAACCGAGAAAAGTTCGAGCAACGGCCATGTTGCTGGATGCTTCGTCTATGTCCGTTTTAACAGTACTCCGAGTGAGAGTCATAGAAGTCGCTAGGGCATGGCGACATGACCTCCTGCTCGAGCAACTGAACTACTTGGTTCATTGTTGGACGTTCGTCTGGACTTGCGTTGGTACACCTTGCTGCTACTTCAAGAATTGCTTCTAAAGTTTCCATATCGGCGACCATTTGATATACAGTTCCAAATCCCCCGACCCCACAACATCAAGGGACTCTAGCTTTTCTATAATCTCGCATGATGGATCGGCAGATCCCCATGAAAAGTGATAAGTTTCGCACCTACAAAAAAAAGCGCTAGTCGTTCAGATTCAGGGCAGACTGCAGAGGCTGAGAACGATATGGCATTCTCGAGAAAAGCCGAAGTTTAGCTTACTCGTATCTTGGTGGACTTGTTTCTTGACTTCTGTATATTTCTTAGCATCCCTTTCCTTCTTTGATAGTAGACATATCCAGAGGAATGCAAGGAGAACAACAAACATGACGGCCAATGTTGACATTGCACCAATCAGCACACCTTTGATATAACAAGATGATCGCTTCGTTTGGACTGCGGAAATAAAAGACGATAATCCCCATATTATTACACAATGAAAGCTTTTAAGACATATAGAAATTGAAGCTTAAGTACTTAACAACAAGCTTGCCTTCTGTTTCATCACTTTCAGCATGAGGAAGGACTGCCGGGAATCCCAGTGAGGTCCGACACGGCTTGTGAACTTGTTGGCCGCATAGATCCAAATTACCAAGAAACCTAAACATAAAGGAGGAACGATTCAGAATCGGAAAAAGCTAATATTTACGAGGTAGCAGATTTATGCTTACACAGTTTCATGCATCTTTTGAATCCCATGCATAGGTGTTAGTAATACATGAATAGAAAGCATAGATATAATAAAAGTTGTTCATAGTATGACAAGGGTACTCACGACTAGTTCCCGAAAGTGTTGAGTACTCCGATACCCGGGATTTCACCGGAGAAAAAGTTGGTGGACAAATTTCTGCATCAAAGAGGAACCATCAAAAGCTTAAGAAACCACTTTTCTTTCAGTTAAACAAGTCAAATTACATTTGGCAACCTATAACTCGATGTGAACTTACAGGTAACGCAGTCTTGTAAGACGGCCTATAGACGAAGGTATAGCGCCCTTTAGCAAATTGCTCGATAAATCCCTACAAATAACAAAAGCATCAACAAAACGAACCCTTCAACGGCCTAACTCGACCCGTTGCATTCCTAAGTATTTTGATCCTCAATATTTCATTTTTTATTTTAAAAAACTCTTATTTTAGAGTGTTAACAAAGGGTTTACATTTATGGATGGGTTTTTAAATGAAAGGTTATGTTAAAATACTTTTAAAAAGAATAAGGGTCAAAATGAATATTTTCGGTAAACATTAGGCCTAATTTTTTATTATATATTTTTTAATTAATAAAAGTTATAGTCCCATTAAATTTATTAAAGGTTGTTTTTTATCTTTGAAATATATTTTGACTATTGTCCAAGTCAATAATATCTTTTGGACAAAGAGACAAAAATCTCCTTACGAGGAATTAAAAATTAATATTTTTTTGAAACTAAACGGAACTGCAGAAACGGATGCCGTTTTATAATGGAGCAAACATAACTTTTTTAAGCTCAAGTCCATCTATTTATTACTTTCTCCCAGTTCGGTACTTAAATCCTTTTATATTCTAATTTGGTACATACATTTTTACTCCATTGACTAATTTGGTACATGTCGTTAAGTCTCAGACATGTGACACGTAAAGACAGCGTTATTTGACATAGCAATGCCACCATAATATAATTGGCTGAAAATTACGAGTTGAATTTTTAACGTTAAATCGAATCGAATTTTATTCATCTTAATGTTGATAATCTTAACTAGTCAAGGGAATAATGATTTAATACAAGAACTAAAAAGCATATATCATCTCACCAGAACATCGTCATAAGAACAACGTAAAAGTGGAGGAAAAGTTATTTGAATTTAGACCCATAAAAACACGCAATAACTAATACTTCGAAAAGTTTCACCACATTGACCTAACCAGCAACCACATCAGAAGCCACTCATAAATAGGAATCGACACGGGACCAGAATTTGATGGGTTTCTACCTGATCTTATCAAGTCAGATTTTCTTTAATTGAGTTTGAGTCAGGTCGGATTTTTAAGAGATTATGTTCGGGGTGGTTCAAGTTCGAGTTTAGGATGAAAAAATTTGATCCAACCCAACCCGAAAATATGTAATTTAATTTACTCCCTTTGGTGGCATGAACTCGCTCGTATATGATTAAAGACTCTGATTTTTGGCATATGAGCATTCCTCAAAATGTTAGTTGGTGTTTTAAGAGAGTTTTGAAAATGAGATTTGAGGTTTCACGTATACTTGCTGGTGCAGTAAATGGTCTCAGCACGAGGAGGATTTGGGAGGAGCTGCGAATTCAGGGCCCCAAGGTATCTTGGCATAATTTGGTTTGGTTTCCTGGGCGTATTCCAGAGCAAAGTACCATCTTGTGGATGATCATCCTTGACATGCTACCTACTCGGACAAGACTCCTGCGAATGGGTCTGAATATCGATACTGACAAGTGTTTACTTTGTGATGTTGAATCTGAGACTCGAGGTCACCTATTTTTTTGATGCAGTTTTGCGAAAGAACTGTGGGGGAATGTTTTCTCTTTGTGTGGTATTATGCGCAATGTTAGTACTTGGGATAGGGAGTTAGAATGGGCTACTAAACTCCTCAAGGGTAAATCCCTTATTGTGCGAATCCTGAAGCTCGCCCTTGCTGGTCACGTCTATGCCTTATGGTGTGAGAGGAATAGCATATTATTTGGGGATCGTGCCAGGTTGGTAGGTGATGTGCTCAATGATATCCGGGATACTATTCAGATCCGCCTCAACAATTGGTCCATTTGTAAGTCTAATTCGAGGAATATTGCCCTCTGTGAAAAGTGGGGTATATGAACTAATGTTCTTCTGTTTTGTTCCCCTTGTTGGTTTCATTATTGTTATTTTGTTGATTATGTAGTGTACTGTTCTTTGTAGCAGGATTTCCATGCATTCTTAGGTAATGAAAATGGAATTATCCAAAAAAAATATGTAATTTACCTTGTATATTTAGAGATAACGGTAATAAGAACCCTCTATATTTTTTAATTAAAATCCTATTTTTAATTGAAGAAAAGTAATATTTTTTATAAATATATATATTTCAGATTGAATGGAGTCATGTTGTATTCGGATTTTATCACAAAAGAACGAATCAAATTCGAGTCGAATGAAGGATATATGATTTTAAAATTGGGTTTGAGTTAAGTAGAAAGTATATAAATTTTAAATCGAATCGACCGAAACCCGACCTATTCTCGTCGCTACTCACAAATCATGTAAACTTTACGGGTTTGGGAGTTCATTTATAATTCAAGCAAAACATCCTTTAAATATCAGGATAAACTATTCATTATGTCACCCATCTATTTTCATATTTTTATTTTGATCGCCTAATTATATTTTTCATCAAAATCATACTTAATATTATGTTTCATTTCTATTTTGATCACCAGCCATCACGTTTAATCGTTGATTTAACCAAAATACTTATCTAACATGATATAATAATAGTTTTACTTCTCAAAACTTACACAAATAACTCGATAAATCTTCGATACTTAAACCACCTCGTAAACTTTAAACCGCGGCACGCTCCCGACCCGAACGCTAGGCAGTGGACGCCAACTCGACTTTTTAGTTGGAAACAAGCTTTTGTTACTAAAACACTTGCAATCAAGACGTTATAAAAGGAAACAACAATGACTAATCCAGAAGAAGAAGAAGAAGAAATAGATGAACAAACAAGGAAACAAAAAAAACAAAGATTTGAAACATTTTTATAATGTCATTTGTCAAAGACAACCCTACACTATATGCTGCACAAAATAGTAAAACGAAACAATCACCAAACATAGACATGAAAAATACATACGTGTATATATATATATATATATATACCGACATGCCCTTCGCATTCTACGGACATCTAACCTACCTCTCTCGGACTCGGATGCGAGTGTCGAGTATCCAACAAAGATATGCTAAATTTGGAGAATCATACTCTCACATCCATTCCTGAATATGTATCGAGTATGATAACTCTAGGAAAGAACGAATAATACACTTTAACTGATCAACGCACACTTCATGCAGCAGCAAAAAGAAAACAACCAAAGCCGGCGATGTGAACATGTTACGAAAGAATTACTGTCTTCCACCGAAAAGCTCACCGTTAAACTTGAACCTACATGGCATTCCGTGAAGCAACTGGTGTCGTACGTTTCAGTTATAGATCGTTTATAGACATCAAATGGTGAGAGAGAAACATCGAGCAGGCACATGCATAACAAAGTCAATTGATCCCTCTGTTACCTCAGACAGCGATGGCTTGACCAGTAACTGCATCGTGGAGCTGCAAGGAACCGTCTTTCATCAAGTTAAGACTCAAACTCTTGAACCTCTCTCTTGAATACTGCCTTGATGCTTTTCTCCAATCGGTACCAGCTTTCATCATGGCAACGAATTCATCATAACAGATTCGCCCGTCCTGAATAATCGAAAGTTGACAAAGAGAAAAATGGTGTAACTATTAAAATATATGGTAAAAGTGCAAAGTTATGGATTCATTAATAAAAAGTATCTAACGAATTATGAGTTCAATACGCCTATTTAGCATAAAGGCGGATATTCCTTGCTCGTTATCGGACAATCACTTATTCACAAACTTTGTGTGGGGCTAATAGTTTTCATTTCCATCACATGGGAAAACCCTTTTCACTCCGCTAAGCCCTATCTTTCTCTAGGGATATTTTAGTGACAGGTTCTATAGGAACCAGACGATCCTATTTTCTTTTCATTGCAGAATTTCTGAACAATATCATGCCCCAAAGTAAATACGAAGAGTATGTAGCCTATAATAGTTCTGTTTCAATTAAGCATCATGAAATCGAAAGTGATTTACAGAGGAGATATGGAAGTCATACTTTGTCGGTGTCAACTTCACGCATGATGTCTTTCAGTGCATCAACATCAGTTTCACCAGATTCATCAGCTAATGCGTCCCGTAGCTCATCTAGTTCAATATATCCACTGCCATCTTTGTCGAAGAACATAAATGCTCTGCGGAAATGCTCATCGTTTTCCATCTTCTGCAAGTGAATTGTCACTGCTACAAATTCCCCGTAGTCCAATACACCATTTCCATCAACATCAGCCTGATACAATCATACAAATAGATCAATACAAAGGAAACACAAGTTCACATTCGAATTTTTGGGAGCCGAATGAGATTATCAGGGGGGAAATAGTGATTATGATTATTTCGCTTAGGTTTTGATCTTTCAGATAATTAAGCAGACAAAAGAAAGGGACCATACCACTTCCATTAACATCTTCATCTCTGGTTCAGCTAATTGAGAACCGACCTTCCGAAGCCCGGCCTTCAGCTCCTCGTATGAAACTTTCCCGTCATTATCCTTATCCATCAATGTGAACATGTCTTTGATTACTTCAACCTCTTCTACAGATAAGTGCTCTGCGATTACCTGCAGCATTTACAAAAACTGAATCACCTGCAGGAACTTGCAAATTGCACGATAATACAATGATTTTGGATCTTTAACCAGCAATTTCACATAATCTGCCTAAAAATGCTTACCCTTAAAGCCTTCTTTTTAAATCTATTCATCACGGAAAACTGCTTGAGCCTGGCTCTCACAATATCTCCCAACGGAACATTCGGAGCTTTCTTAGTATTTTGCAACCAGGGATGTTCTGTGCCCAAAAGAAGGGTCAAGGACAAGATTGAACAGTAAAAATCAGCACGGCTATTAAAAGAAGTCGTTAAATTCTCTATGCAATGAGGCATCTAATGGACTTCATTTCAAAAGTTATATTTCCTTCCTCGACAACAGCAAACGGAAGTTTTACCGACTAACTCATTGAATACGGATCGTAGTGCCCCAATATGCTCACTTCAAAATAAATTTCCTTAATCAATTCAAAATAAGATTGACTAAAATTTTAACTAGATAAATGCATAAATATGTCAACATTTGGCCCAGCAAGCATTTGACCGCACAAAGTTGCAAATAATGTTGAGTCCTTGTCAGATTCCAAATGCTATAAACCCAATCGATCCACGGGAATAAAGTTAGCACAAATTCATTATGGAAGGGATCCGTACTTTCAAGATCACCCTGACCTCACTCTTTACGACAATAATTCAGTGTTTAGGCAGATGGGTCCTCAAATGCTTTTTAACTAAATATGCCAATTGCTTACTAACAGAAAATTCAATACGATAAGAACTGTCGGAGAACCTACCGAGCACCTGTTGAGCAGTCAATCGTTTCTTAGGATCCGGTTCTAACATCTGCCTTACAAGACTCTTAGCACTATCCGAAACTTGTGGCCAAGGTTCCCTCTTAAAACCAATGACCCCTCTCAAAATCGCAAGAGCAACACCCTGTTCAGTCTCTGAAAATAAGCAACACAGAGGTAAGCAATCAGAATACATACATGCTACACACATACATACATTAATACATACATACATACATTAATACATACATACATACATACACACGCATGCATACATACATACATATATATATTTTTTATACATACATAGATTTAAATGTAAAGGATGTAAAAGCACAAAGTAAGAGAAAGGAATACCTGCCCAAAAGGGAGGAACCCCACATAACAAAATGTAAAGGATCACACCAGCACTCCATACATCAACCTCTGGTCCATAATTTCGTTTCAGAACTTCAGGGGCCATATAATATGGACTCCCCACGATCTCGGAAAAACTTCTCCCCTGCTAAAATAAATCCAAATTCCCAAATATCAATCCAGCAATCAAGCTGAAATCAATGAATAAATCTCACTAAAACAGTAATCAAACTCCAAAAGAAGAAAATCAAGATTCAGCTGTTGAACAAATATCTAACGAGCAAAATCAGAAATCCAGTCAAATCAAATTACCCGACGACCGACAGAGAACTCAGGTCTATTATGAAAGGTACCCAAAAATCGAAAAAGCATCGCAAACAAGAAAAACCCAGGAATTTAAAGAAGAATTATCAAACAAGACCCTGAAGATGAATTCAAAATTCTTATTCCACCATCCAGTTGGGGAAGCTATAGAAGTTTTTTTAAAGAGAAAGAGTCTAATCCAACATTTTATTAGCTAAAGTTCCAAACCATCAAAATCCCAGATAAAACCTCAAAAAAAGAACTAAATAAATCCATCCACGTACCAGGCTTAAAAAACACAGACAACCCAAAATCGATCACCTTTAGTGGCGAGTGTTCTTTCTTATTAGCGAACAAAAAATTCTCAGGCTTCAAATCTCTATGCATAACGCCACTCTCGTGGCACATCCTTACCACCTCAGCTATCGTCTTAGCCACGTTCGCCGCCGCGCGTTCCGTGTAGTGCCCTCTCGCCACTATCCTGTCGAACAATTCCCCGCCTTCACAAAGCTCCATAACCAAATGAACGTTTTCATTGTCCTCGTACGTCGCTTTCAGCTTCACGATATTCGGATGGTCCGGCAACGTCGACATTATGGCGACCTCGCGACGGACGTCTTCGATGTCTACTGCTGTCCGGAGTTTCTTCTTGGAGATTGATTTGCACGCGAGGGCTTCCCGCGTTTCCCTGTCCGTGCAGAGGTAAGTGATCCCGAACTCGCCCCGCCCCAGCTCGCGGCCGAGGACGTACTTGTCGAAAATTCGAGTTCGGTGACTCAGTGGGATAACGTCTTTTAGTACTCGGATCGGAGCCGGCGATGCGACTCTGTCGGAGAACGGGTTCGGCTTCCTTTCCCGGGCTTTTTTCTTTCCCTTATGGTTCTGGTCAGACCGATTCGGTTTACTTTCCGGACTCTCGTCCGGTCTTACGCATGCGTTACAGTTCCCCATAATCAGAAAGAATTCAAAGAACAAGTGAAACTAAGTCGCCGCCGTTGCGGGGTTGGTGGGCGGAGAACGGCGGAGGGAGCCGATGAAGAAAGAAAGAAAGAAAAGAAAATAAGAAAACGCGGGGTGACTGGTCAGTCGAGAAAATCTGGGGGGTCTGAAAATTTCTTCGCAGTATGATTATGGTTTGACTTATCATTTTATTAATATAATATTTGAATAAAAATGATTTTTTTATGATTAAATTAAATATTTTTTATAATCCGCTAACTTGTATTTTACTCCTGAATTTATTATTTTTTATTTCCTCCTTGATTTATTATTCGTATTAGTCTTGTAACTTAAGATATTTTTTAATTTAGTTATTAATTTTTAATGATTTTCAATAATAATGTAATATTACTTACGGTGATATGTCAGTATTAACGACAAATGACAAAAACATAATTAAAATGATAATTTAGTGACTAAATACATAGTCTACCTTATTTCTATTAATTTTATAATAGTTTATATGTCACATTGTATCATAGATCGAGTCAGATCAAAACAAGTAAATTTTAATTTTCTACCTCAAAATTAAATTAGATCTCACATTAGATTGAATAATTGACGATAGAATGTTATACTCCTACTGAATTCGGAAATACCAAAGATTTGGTCTAATCCAACTCATAATCATCTCTAATTATGTTTGACATAATCGTGTTAAATAATTTATAGTGTGGATTTTAATACAAATGTTTATAAGATAAATTACATATTTAGTCATCCAATTATTTTTTTTAAAATAATAATTTAATATTACGTTTTAGTTACTCACTGTTAAAAAATAAATAAAATTATTGATGTGACAACTTTTATTTTTATCAATGATGATGTATCACTACTTTATAGTGTCATGTATGTGTCACCATTAATTTTTTAACGACGAGTGACTAAAACTGAACTAAAATGTAATATTAGTTATGATTAAAAAATAATAATAATGTGATCAAAACATAATCAAAAGATAATTTAGTGACTAAATACATAGTTTATCCTTATTTATATTATTTTTATCATAGTTTATATGTTATGATGTTTTATTATTGTAAAATAGTAGGGAAAACAATCTAATGATTTTTTGGACCCACGAAGAGAAAATACTTATTGCATGACAGCCGTTCCTTTCTATTGATTCAAGTAGGCCGTAAATGAGATCAGTTAGATCGTAAGTTACTTGAGATTGATTCGATTAAAGTTTGATCAACACTCAAATTCTTAACGAGTTAAAATGAGCTACTTAATACTCGACCCGAAAAGCTCACGAGCTATTTGAAAAAAAAAATTATATTATAATTTTAGATTTTTTAAAATTAAATTATTAAAAATATATTAAAATATATTATTGATAATTATAATTTTTTAAAAATATATTTTTAAATGTAATATAAGATTTTTATAAGTTAAAATTCGATTTTTAGTTTGAGCTTGAATTGAGCTCAAAATCGAGCTTAAATCGAACTCCTGAATTTTTTTTTAATCGAGTTTTAATTTTATATTTCGAGTTCGAGCTGAACTTGATAATTTTTATCTCGTGAATTGTCAAGTCGAGCCGAGTCTAATTTTAAACTTTTCGAATTCGAGTCGAGCTCGACTCGGCTCGTTTACGGCTCTAGACTTCCAAGATAGTCGTCCATTATTTTTATGGCCAAAAACAATATATTTTTAATAATGATTTAGGTTTAATGATGCATATAGTCCTCAAAACTCTAAAAATATTAATTAAATTATAGTGTTTCAACGAATTATAACTTATTACATGATGTCGATGATTAAATGAAGTGTTTTTTCACTCTAAATATCCCGAATTTGGACAACTGTGTATACATGATATGTGCATCATCAACGACTAAGAAACGTTCTAAACATATATTATCTTGTAATCATCTCAGACTATTGAAAAAACATATTATAATTCATAAGCTTGAAAATTATAGTTATATAAAGTGAACTGGACTGAATTTATAATTAATTTTAATTATTTTATAATATTTATAGTTATATAATGAAAAATTTTGCTTTTTAGGTTCATATTATAAATCAATATAAGAAATTTATGATTTAATTTGGGTATGACTTAACAAGAGTTTTTATAAGAAATTTTTTGAGAAGATGTCTGAATGAATTATCAGAAATGGTTTTGGGTACGAACGACCCAAATTATCAATTTTTATGATGATGAATAAGAAATGATTTTGGTTGAAAATATTTATATATTTTAAATGAATATAATATGGTTTGAAAAGTCCATTGAGATGGAGTGATTATGATTATGACATGGTACATTTGTGTACATTATGTGTACCACAGTTGGTCAAATGATATGAATGCACTTGGAGTGCACATTTTGATTACGATGATAGCACTGAAGTGCTAATTGCGCACATTCGTCTAACTTACGTGTCTTGCATTCTCTTACATATACATTAAGGTTAAAAATATGAAATATAAAAATTCTGAAAAATATTTAAATGAAAATGAAATCTGAAAACGAAAGTTCTTAAATATATTTAAATGTAAAAGTTTATGGAAAGTGTCTGAGGAGCATGAATCTGAAATGTTGATTATGATTGATGTTGATTATTATGATTCTCATAAAATTATGAGATTATGGTTTTCAGGTACGAGCAAAAGTGGCTTGAATAAGTCGGTTTGAAATTTCAATGATTTCGTTGAATTTAATTTTTTTACTGTTTTGAATTATTATCATGATTTTTTATTTTAGCTCACTTTAAGTAGGTTATTGCCTAACTAAGTTTTGTTTAAAGTAAGATAGATTTCACTCGTAGACTCAGATAAAAGAAAGAACGTGAAGTGATGAGCCCTCTAATGCATCTTCACATAAATCAATAAAATATATAATATTCTAAAAGGTTTTAATTTTTTATTAATCTAAAATAAATATAAGATAATATCTGCTCAAAAATAATTTTCAATCATTTAACATTAAACGCTCAAATTCTGATATTACGTTAAGGAATAATAACAATTCCCAATAAAGATCTATTGGTTTTAGAATTAATATATATATATATGTATGTATATTTTTAGTAAAATAATTTTACTTTTAATATTAATTACTTGATATCCAAATGTGACCTTAAAATTACAAGACGTGATAAATACACTATTTTGAAATTATTTTATTATATCCAACCTTATATTTAATACACATAATATTAATATTTAGAAGTTTGATGATTTATTAATTATCATTTGATTTATCATAATAAGATATTAGATTTCTAAATAAAACTAAAATTTTAAAATGTGAAAATTTAAAACAAAAAAAAAATCATACAATTTTAATTAATCAATAAATAAACAAAGATCACTAATTAATAATTTATATTCTATTTTTGGATAAACTAATATTAGAGAAAAAAAGTCAAGAGTTGGGCTTAAAATACCTAACTTTAACTGCCATTTAAAACCTTTGGATGCATAGCTAAATATATAACTCACACACAGTACAAGGACAATAATAGATTTTGACTTAAACATGTGAAACAACTACTATAGATGAGAAGTGAAATTTTATGATTTAAAAGTACAAGGACTAAGAATGATCATACTAGAATACAAAAACTAAACTCACAACTTATGTATGCCTAAGATATAAAGGGTGAATTACGAGTTTAGTAACTAAACTATTAGTTTTGGTCCGTTTTAATACATAAACTTTTAATTTTTTCAGAACAATGCATAACGTTTATTTTTTGTTCCATTTTCGTATCATGCCGTTAAAAACTTAACGGGCGAGCTCGTCGGTCGATGCATCTACCGTCTTCGACGGTCACATCCGTCAACTGATGAAGCCCACACCTTTTCGGACCCTTTAACGTGATTTTGACCTCCATTTCACTAGAAAAATACCTCAATCTCTATAAATCGACGATGAACTCTTCAGCTTCTTCACCCTCCGATCTTCATCGTCAACTGACCGGTGGGTCTGAAACTAGACAATGTTGGTCGACTCGTCATTCTCTCATGGTCCACTTTTCGGATTGGTCCGTCCACCAGAGCTATGCCCAATCAGCCCATCCGTTAAGATTTTTAATAAAAGATACTAAAATAAAACAAAAGTAAACGTTAGTTATGATTTTATTTTTTTGAAAATTAAGGTACTATAAACTAAATACATAATTACCCAAAAAAAAAGTGTGGGTTTAGGGATTTGCTTAAAATTAACAAAGAGACGGCAGGCCATGGCCATTTGAGGGTGGGAAAAAGTAGGTGGAGACTTGGTCAAAATGATGATTGAAGTCTTTGAAAGCAAATATCTCAACTTTGTTAGCTATCCTAATCAACCAGCATTCTTAATTAATACCACTTCTACCAAATAAGAAGCAGAAGGTCAAGATTCAATTTTGAATGCTCATTATCAATTAGTTAGCTATCCTAATCAACCAGCATTCTCAACTTTGTAAGATGGATGTTCATTATCAATTAGTTAGGAAAATTTTAAACATGTACTAAATCACCTCATACTATAAAATATTAATCCTTATACTTTTGAACGTTTTAAATTAATTCACAAATTGTGACCCTCATCCTATATTGGTCCTCGAACTTTGAATGCTCTTTTTTATCCCCCAAACTTTTGAATGATTTAGGGGAATATTGTCGAAACACTCGAAAGTTTTGAGAATCAATTTAGACGTAAGGTTATAGTTTGGAGATAAATTTAGAATGTTTAAAAGTATGAGATCGATTTAGAACGTGAGTCATAATTTGAGGATAAAATTTAATATCCAAAAGTTTAGAGATTAATTTAGAATGAAAGTTGAAATTTAGGGGCGTAGTGCAATTAATTCTAAACTTAAATATATAATTTTTTATTAACCTAATGTGATTACAAAGTAATATCTGTTATAAATACTCTTAACCATTTGACAATGAACGTTTGATCACCTTGCTGAGGTTGTTGGTGCTCGAACTCGTGACCTTTAAGAACAACAATGATTCATTTAATCACTGAGATAAATTAGTTCGTGTAAAATTAAATATAGAATTAAATCATCCACTTTTAAATAAAGTTCATTCCCATTTTCTTTATGAATAATTTGTTGTTGGCCAACTCAACTAAAAGTTCTGCTCATAAATTAAGTTCCAAACCCAAAAGATATATCCAGTTTATCACGACTTATTTC